TGGAACGTCTCCTGACCTCAGGTGATCCACCAACCTTGGCCTCCTAAAGTGTTGGGATTACAGGCGTGAGCGACCGTGCCTGACCAAAAATCTTTAAGTTAAATTTTTTTTTTTCCTGTTATAGACAAGGTTTCATTCTGTCACTCAGGCTAGAGTGTAGTGGTGCCATCGTAGCTCACTGTAACCTTGATCTCCTGGACTCAAGTGATCCACCTCAGCTTCCCAAGTAGCTAGGGCTATATGCACATGGCACCACACCTGGCTAATTAAAAAAAATTTTTTTTAGGCTGGGCACGGTGGCTCATGCTTGTAATCCCAGCACTTTGGGAGACCAAGGCAGGTGGATCACGAGGCCAGGAGTTCAAGACCAGCTTGGCCAACATAGTGAAACCCCGTGTCTACTAAAAATACAAAAATTAGGCCGGGCACGGTGGCTCACGCCTGTAATCCCAGCACTTTGGGAGGCCGAGGCAGGTGGATTGCCTGAGGTCAGGAGTTCGAGACCAGCCTGACCAACATGGTGAAAGCCCGTCTCTACTAAAAATACAAAAATTAGCTGGGTATGGTGGCAGGCGCCTGTAATCTCAGCTACTCGGGAGGCTGAGGAAGGAGAATCGCTTGAACCTGGGAGGCAGAGGTTGCAGCGAGTTGAGATCGCGCCATTGCACTCCAGCCTAGGTGACAAGAGCGAGACTTCGTCTAAAAAAAAAAAAAAAAAAATTAGCTGGGTGTGGTGGCACACGCCTGTAGTCCCAGCTACTCGGGAGGCTGAGGTGGGAGAACCGCTTGAACCCAGGAGGCAGAGGTTGCAGTGAGCTGAGACCATGCCACTGTACTCCAGCCTGGGTGACAGTGAGACTCTGTCTCAAAAAAAAAAACAAAATTTTTTTTTGTGGGGACGGGGGCCTCACTATGTTGCTTTGACTAGTCATAAACTCCTGGCCTCCCAAAGTACTGGGATTACAGGCATGCACCACCATGCCCGGCTAATTTTTGTAATTTTAGTAGAGATGGGGTTTCCCCATGTTGGTCAGGCTCGTCTTGAACCCCCGACCTCAGGTAATCTGTCTGCCTCGGCCTCCCAAAGTGCTGGGATTACAAGCATGAGCCACCACGCCCGGCCTATTTTTTATTCTTAACTAGGGCTTTTTTGCACATTCTAATTACAGTCTGAAAATGATCTGGTCTCTCTACCTCTTTTGACCTACCACACCTTAGTCAGTTTTCTTTTGCTTGTAATACCTGAAACTATGTTATTTATAAAGAGAGAAATTTATTTATAATTATATATAGAGGTTCTATAACTATATAGTTATATAGTTCTGGAGGCTGGGAAGTCCCAGGTTGAGGGGGTACATTTAATGAGAGCATTCTCACTGGGACCGTCTCTGCAGAGTCCCAAAGTGGCACAGGGAATCACATGGCAAAGGGGCTGAGAGTGCTGGCTCAGTTTCTCCTCTTATAAAGCTATCGGTCCCACCTGGGTGCGGTGGCTCACGCCTATAGTCCCAGCACTTTGGGAGGCCGAGGTGGGCAGATCATGAGGTCAGGAGATCGAAACCATCCTGGCTAACACGGTGAAACCCCGTCTCTGCTAAAAAATACAAAAAAATTAGCCAGGCGTGATGGCGGGCGCCTGTAGTCCCAGCTACTCGGGAGGCTGAGGCAGGAGAATGGCGTGAACCCGGGAGGTGGAGCTTGCAGTGAGCCGAGTTTGCACCACTGCACTCCAGCCTGGGCGACGGAGCAAGAGTCCGTCTCAAAAAATAAATCAGTAAATAAAAGCCATTGGTTCCATTTCTATGAGAACCCATTAATCCATTAACAGTGAAAGGATGGGCCAGGTAGATTGGCTTATGCTGTAATGGTGGATACATACTGAAGTGAGTGGATTGTTTGAGGTCAGGAGTTCAAGACCAGCCTGGCTAATATGGTGAAACCCTGTCACTACTAAAATTACAAAAATTAGCCGGGCATGGTGGTGGACACAAAAATCAGCTGGGCATGGTGGCATGTGCCTACAGCTACTCAGGAGGCTGAGGCAGGGGAATCGCTTGAACCTGGGAGGTGGAGGTTGCAGTGAGCCGAGATCACGCCACTGTACTCCAGCGTGGGTGACAGACTCTGTCTCAACAAAACAAAAACAGTGAAAGGATGAATCCCCTCATGCGGGCAGAGCCCTCATGACCCAATCATTTCCTAAAGGTCCCACTTCTGAACACTGCCACACTGGGGATCAAGTTTCAACATGAGTTTTGGAGGGGACAAACATTCAAACCATAGCAATCACCTCACTGATTGATTAGAATTGCTCAGAGCTCCCTAAACACATCACCCTAGGCTGGGGGTAGTGGCTCATGCCTATAATCCTAACACACTGGAAGGCCAAGGCAGGCGGATCGCTTGACCTTAGGAGTTCGAGACCAGTCTGGTCAATATGGTGAAACCTTGTCTCTACAAAAAAGACAAAAAAAAAAAAACCCAAAAAACCAGGCATGCTGGTTCTCACCTCCTAGCTACTCAGGAGGCTGAGTTGGGAGGACTGTTTGAGCCCTGGGGGTTGAGGCTGCAGTGAGCCGTGTTCATGCCACTGCACTCCAGGTTGGGGGACAAAGAGAGACCGTATCCGAATCAATCAATATATAGCACCCTGTTCACGACTGTCTTTGCTTAAGTTGACACCCCCAACAAATGCCTTTATTTGCCTACTGCACCCTTTGCCTGTAGGTTCTGACATATCAAAGCCCAGTTTATTACCCAGTTTCCTTGACTTTAAGTAGTCATTCAATACTAAACACCTACCTGCTACCTACTGGGCAAAACAAACTTGCTTCCTGCTCTTGTAGACACAGTCGTAGGTTACTTTCACTGATCACCAAATGCTAAGAAAACACACAGGGTTGGGTGTGGTGACTCATGCCTGTATTCACAGCACTTTTGGAGGCCAAGGCAGGAGGGTAACTTGAATCCAGGAGTTTGAGACCAGTCTGGGCAACACAGCGAGACCTTGTCTCTATAAAAATTACAAAAAACAGGCCAGGCTTGGTGGCTCATGCCTGTAATCCCAGCACTTTGGGAGGCCAGGAGTTCAAGAGCAGCCTGACCAACATAGTGTAACCCCATCTCTACTAAAAATACAAAAAATTAGCTGGGCGTGGTGGCAGGTGCCTGTAATCCCAGCTACTAGGGAGGCTGGGGCAGGAGAATCGCTTGAATCTGGGAGGCGGAGAGTGCAGTGAGCAGAGATCGTGCCATTACACTCTAGCCTGGGCGACAGTGCAAAATTCCATCTCAAAAACAAAAAAACAAAAACAAAAAACTAGCTGGGCAGGGTGGTGCATGCCTGTAGTCCCAGCTATTCCAGAGCCTGAGGTGGGAGGAGTGCTGAGTCTGGGAAGTAGAGGTTGCAGTGAGTTAAGATCGTGCCATTGCACTCCAGCCTGGGCGACAGAGACACCGTCTCAAAACCAACCAACCAAACAAACAAAACCACGTATGATGCTATGTGGGAGTACCAGGGGAACTTACATTAAGGGTCCAGAGAGGCATCTTTGAGGAAATATTTGGCTAAGGTCAGAAGGGAGTAGGAGTTAGCTGAGTAAAAGGGAGGGGGGCACAAGCATTCTGGAGGGATCAACATGTTAAAAATAAACTCAAAGCAGAAGCAAAAAGAAAAGCAGCAGTTGTGGAACTGAAAAGGAGCCTATGGCTGCAGTGCAGAGAAAGGGGTGGCTCAAAGAGCCCAGAAAGTGCTGTAGCCCTATGACTATGGCCTTCCCCTGCCTTCCTGAGGCACCTCCAAGGTAGGCCTAGAATCCTTCCTTTGTGCATCCTCTGGGTTATACTGGAACCCTTTTTTTTTTTTTTGAGATGGAGTTTTGCTCTTGCTGCCCAGGCTGGAGTGCAATGGCATCATCTTAGCTCACCACAACCTCTGCCTCCTAGGTTCAAGCAATTCTCTTGTGCCAGCCTCACGAGTAGCTGGGACTACAGGTGTGTGCCACCATGCCTGGCTAATTTTTCTATTTTTAGTAGCAACAGAGTTTCGCCATGTTGGCCACCCTGATCTTGAACTCCTGGCCTCAAGTGATCTGCCTGCCTCGGCCTCCCAAAGTGCTAGGAATACAGGTGCAAGCCACTGTGCCCAGCCCGTTTTTTTTTTTTTTTTTGGAGACAGTCTTGCTCTGTCTCACAGGCTGGTGTGCAGTGGCAGGATCACTGTTCACTGCAGCCTCAATCTCCAAGGCTCAAGTGATCCTCCCATCTCAGCCTTCTGAGTAGCTGGGACTAAACTATAGGTGCATGCCACTATACCTGACTAGTTTTCATATTTTTCATAGAGATGGGTTTTTGCCATGTTGCCCAGGCTGGTCTTGAACCCCTGGGCTCAAGATCTGCCTGCCTGAGCCTCCCAAAGTGCTGGAATTATAGGCATGGGCCACTGTGCCCAGCCTCCACCATCACTGGAAGCCATCTCTTCAATTCAAAATTAAAGTTGGATAGGAAGGAAAAAATAGTACGTTTCTAAAAATGACTTTGACTTATCTATAATGAAAGGTATGGGTGGTTTTGAATTCCTTCCAGTGGTAATAAGAGGACAGAGTACTTAACCAATCCCACTACTTCTGGTTTTTTTTTTTTTTTTGAGACGGAGTCTCATTCTGTCGTCCAGGCTGGGGTGCAGTGGTGTGATCTGGGCTCACTGCAAGCTCTGCCTCCCGGGTTCACACCATTCTCCTGCCTCAGCCCCCCGAGTAGCTAGGACTACAGGCACCCACCACCACGTATGGCTGACTTTTTGTATTTTTTAGGAGAGATGGGGTTTCACCGTGTTAGCCAGGATGGTCTCGATCTCCTGACCTCGTGATCCACCCATCTCGGCCTCCCAAAGTGCTAGGATTATAGGCGTGAGCCACCGCACCCGGCAACTACCTCTTGTTTTGAATCACAAATTCCTGGATGACTAAAATAAATTCCTAAAGTTAAATGGGGAAGGTAACTACCAGAAAATAAACACCAACTTTATTAACATAATAGCAACAGAGTTTCCAATTTCTCAAAAGGAAAATAACATGACAACAGCACAAGTGTTAAATGAATAAATGCCTTTCAAGATGGCGGAGCACCCCTCCCTCTCCCCCCAAAACAGTAAATGCCTACATTTCTTGTTCTGATAGCTTCCCACCACACACCAAAAGTTCCTCAAGGACAGCTGCCACCAGAGCTGCTGCAAGAACGTGGTTTTCACCGGCTGTAGCTTCACAGCCAACTCCTCGAGCAGAAGACTAAAATATTACTTCTTTTTAGAAGATCTTGGTTGAGGGAGAACATATCAATATGGAGAACAGATCTCTGCTTCTCGAATTCAAGAAAAATCATTAACTAATCTATCAACTTTTCTCTGATACGGTGTGCCAGAGTGCTCTGTGAAGAATCCTTTTCCATCCCTACCACGTCTGGGTGAAGGGAGAGGAGGGGGTGGCAAGCTGCCAGTACACTAGCAGGCACTCCTGGTGATGCTATGGTCTCTGCTCCCTTTCTGCTGGTAGTAGTAGGCATGTTTTCTGGCAGCTGCAGCAGCTTGATGTTGGGGGGAGGAAGGGGCCACCCACCAATCACCTCTTCTTGAAGCCGTATTTTTTGCGTTCATAGAAGAGGTCTGTTTTAGAGCTCCCCAGATTGACAATCTTTGGGCAGCCATCTCTCTGGAAAACAGAACAGAGAAGTTGTTAAGTCTTTGAGCCTGAACCAAGAGTGACTTAAGATAAAAAATTTAAGCCCAGTGTGGTAGCATGTGCCTAGTCCCAGCTACTCCTCAGAAGGCCGAGGCAGGAGGATTGCTGGAGCCCAGGAGTTCGAGGCTGTAGTGAGCTATGATCATGCCTGTGAATAGCCAGCTACTGTACCCCACTGTAGGCAACACAGCGAGAACCCCATCTCTTGGAAAAAAAAAATTGGTCAGAGTTCAAATTCTCATTTTAGTATTTGAAAAACCCGATAAATGGGTTTGTAAATGTGTCCAAACATCAGTATCTCCTTCATTGGGAGGCCAAGATCAGTTTCTTCCCTATCTCTTAGCACTTACGAAAGATCATTTGTAGGCCGGGCACGGTGGCTCATGCCTGTAATCTCAGCACTTTGGGAGGCCGAGGCAGGTGGATCACCTGAGGTCAGGAGTTCAAGACCAGCCTGGCCAACGTGGTGAAACCCTGTCTCTACTAAAAATACAAAAATTAGGCAGACGTGGTAGTGTGTGCCGTAGTCCCAGCTACTCAGGAGGCTGAGGCAGGAGAATCGTTTGAACCCAGGAGGCGGAGGTAGCAGTGACCCAAGATCACACCATAGCACTCCACTCCAGCCTGGGTAACGAGAGAAATTCTGTCTCAAGAAAAAAAAAAAGACCATTTTATAACTTTTGGATTAACGGTTTAGCCATTTATCTTAGCCATATCTGCTGCTAATATGATACAGTTGAGGTAGACTATGAAACTCTTTTTTTTTTTTTTTTTGAGAAAAAATCTCACTGTCACCAGGCTGGAATGCAGTGGCACGATCTTGGCTCACTGCAACCTCCACATCACGAGTTCAAGCAATTCTCCTGCCTCAGCCTCCTGAGTAGCTGGGACTACAGGTGCATGCCGCCACGCCCGGCTTATGTCTTTTGTATTTTAGTAGAGACAGGGTTTCACCATGCTGCTCAGGCTGGTCTCGAACTCCTGAGCTCAGGCAATCTGCCTGCCTCAGCCTCCCAAAGTGCTAGGATTACAGGCGTGAGCCACTGTGGCCGGCCATACCTTACTTTTATGTTTTTTGAGATGGAGTCTCACTCTGTTGCCAGGCTAGAGTGCAGTGGCGTGATCTCGGATCACTGCAACCTCCGCCTCCGGGGTTCAAGCAATTCTCCTGCCTCAGCCTCCCGAGCAGTGGGGACTACAGAGGCGCGCCACCACGCCCAGCTAATTTTTGTATTTTTAGTAGAGATGGGGTTTTACCATGTGGGCCAGGATGGTCTCAATCTCTTGACCTTCTGATCCACCCGCCTTGGCCTCCTGATAGTGCTGGGATTTCAGGCGTGAGCCACCACGCCCAGCCCTTACATTTTAAATACCATAGGAGAATAGTGGGTTTTATGTGTCTTCATTAATTCACTTAATTTAACACATGGTCTTGGGGGTACAGAGCACTACTGTGCTAGTGATAGGTGGCTGTTGACAGACCATGCACTGATTTGTCATGACAGGCTGCCCTGGCCATTTGATGAGCTTGAGTGCTTTCAGTGAAGCCCCTGGGAAGCTGTGTTCTACAGAAATGATGACTCCACCAGTTGATTAGGGATGATGGAAGAAAAACCGGGGAAGCTGTAACTGGAAAAGCCCTACAGGTCTGTTGATTTTATTAAACACCCATGTCAGAGTTTAAGTCCTGTGATATTAGGCAATAGTATGAATTAATCAAGTCCTTAGCCAACTCATTTCTAACTCAACTAGCATCTTTCTTTGGGGGCAGACGTTAACAACTACAAAAATCTCTGAAAACACACAAAGCTAACACTAACATTTTAGGATCTCCTAGAAAACATGTATCAAGTCATTACATTGACAGCTTCTATCTCTGAAGCCTGGTGTACCAAGGAAGCCACCCACCAATAGCTTGCTAGGTGAACCCAAGTAAGCAATGTAATCTCTATTTAATGTCCTTGTAAAAATAAGGCATTAGCTGCCTCTCCTGGACAAAGGCCTGATATTAAACATAATAACAGCACTCTAAACCCTTTAGAGAGGCTATGAAACTCATGGTATGATGACAGCTTAAACTGTGCCTTACTGACGCAAATGTGGGCAAGTTGCTACTCTTGGGACTTATATTATTCCTCAGCTGTAAAAGAAGACTAGATCAGGTCAAGGTTTACAAACTATCCTTATAGATACCTAAATATTCCTGGAAGGTACCAAGTGATGGTATCACCCAATCCTCCAATTTGTACAGCTCCGTTCTTTACTTACAGGTTAGCTTTTTTTTTTTTTTTTGAGACGAAGTCTCACCCTGTTGCTCAGGCTGGAGTACAGTGGCGCTATCTCAGCGCTCTGCAACCTCTGCCTCCTGGGTTCAAGTGATTCTCTTGCCTCAGATTCCTGAGTAGCTGGGATTACAGGCGCCCGCCACCACGCCCAGCGAATTTTTGTATTTTTAGTAGAGATGGGGTTTCATCATGTTTGTCAGGCTGGTCTCAAACTCCTGACCTCGTGATTTGCCTGCCTGGGCCTCCCAAAGTGCTGGGATTACAGGAATGAGCCACTGCTCCCAGCCTACTTACAGCTTAGCTAGCCCGAAAATTTAATTAATTTACATTAACTTTTAACTTTTCTCCTTAGAGGTGCAATGATGAGAATGAATAAATAAAAGGTTAAGAAACACTGAGTCAGGCTGGGCGCGGTGGCTCATGCCTGTAATCCCAGCACTTTGGAAGGCCGAGGTGGGTGGATCACCTGAGGCCAGGAGCTTGAGACTAGGCTGACCAACATGGTGAAACCCCATCTCTACTAAAGAAAGAAAAATTAGGCTGGGCACGGTGGCTGACGCCTGTAATCCCAGCAACTTTGGGAGGCCGAGGTGGGTGGATCACAAAGTCAGGAGTTCACGACCAGCCTGACCAACATGGTGAAACCCTGTCTCTACTAAAAATACAAAAATTAGCCGGGCGTGATGGTGCACACCTGTAATCCCAGCTACTCAGGGGGCTGAGACAGAAGAACTGCTTGAATCCAGGAGGTGTAGGTTGCAGTGAGCCAAGATCACACCACTGCACTCCAGCTTGGGCGACATAGTGAGACTGTCTCAAAAAAAAAAAAGAGCTGGGCATGGTGGCGTGTGCCTGTAATCCGAGCTACTTGGGAAGCTGAGGCAGAAGAATCGCTTGAACCTGGGAGGTGGAGGTTGTAGTGAGCCAAGATCATGCCATTGCACTCCAGCCTGGGCGACAAGAACAAAACTGCATCTCAAAAAACTAAAAAAAAAAAAATAATAATTAATTAATTAATTAAAAAAGAGTCAGACCTCCTAGGTTCTAGTCCTGATCTGTCACTCATTAGCCACTTGACCTTGGACTAACCAAGTTGCTTAACGTCTCTAAGCCTTAGCATCCTCATCTGTATCACATGGAACTTTTGGATAACCATGTTCAGCTAAGCACCTGGCATATATTAAGAGCTTCATAAATGTTAGTGCTATTTTTCTTATGTTCTGGTTGGGAGAACTGAGGAAAATGGTAAGCAAAAGGAATCAAGATTAAGGGGATTACACGATGCGGCACCCTAAGAACCTACCAATTAGTCCTCTGGTAGCAATGTCCATAGACATCATCCCTGTCTCCTGGTTATTCTTGTGGCTTTGAAAAATTATAAATGAGAAGACCTGGCTTAGCTTACCTGTCTAATTCCCTTATCAATTATGAAAGTTGCAGGAAGAGAACAATAACAAGGGTTGCCTTGGTTGTAGGAAGGTTTCTGCATAGGAAAGAGCCTTGGCCACTTAATCTACGTGATGATCTGTAAGGCTGAGAGCCTGGATCATGTCACTAGACTTTGTGTTCCTTGGAAACTAGCGCTGAAAATGTGAGCTAGATTCCATCTCAAATGTCCTCAGAACATTCGTGTATAATGTGAAGGCAGGGAAGTGACGTCTAGAATAAGTCTCAGGGACAGAATGAGGCATGAGGATCCAAAGGTATCAGTTCACACACCACATTCAGAGGAGTCAGACAGCAATTAACATTTATTAAGCATTCTCTGATTGCAAGCTTATGCTAGATAAGAACTCTAGCTAGAACCATACAAAAATTCAAGAAAATGCTGTCTTAAATGGCTTAAATAGCTACCCTGTAGCTAGTTTAGGAACTGTTTGTAACTTTTCTTCACTGCTGTTACCTTATTATGCTTTCACTGCTTATAGACCAGAAGTTAACAAACACCTACTATGTATTAGACACCCTAAAGGGGATACCTCTGGATGACTTACAGGGACAGCACCAAAACACATGTACCATGCTTGCACCGCATGTCAGGCACCATACCACGGCCTAAGGAAAAGGAGAGGTGAATAGACAAACCAAAGTCCTGCCTCTAATGAAGTGTAATCTAGCTAGTAGACTAGATTCGGATTTCCGGACAGCAGGATATGACTTAATAGTTGAAGTCATAGTTTCATAGTTGAAATGCAAATCGGAGTTGCAGACAAGAGAAAGGTCCAAATCACTAACGGAAATTATGTTTTTGTTACTTCAGGACCTTTCTCATCTCCCTAAACAACAGAAGATTCAATGGTGTACTGTTTTTTTTTTTTTTGAGAGGGAATTTTGCTCTTAGTTGCCGGATTGGAGTGCAATGTTCTGATCTCGGCTCAGCTGACTGCAACCTCTGCCTCCTGGGTTCAAGCAATTCTCCTGCCTTAGCCTCCCAAGTAGCTGGGATCACAGATGTGTGCCACCACGCCAGTTAATTTTTGTATTTTCTTTTTATTTATTTTTGTTATTATTATTTTTTTGAGACAGAGTCTCACTCTGTCGCCCAGGCTGGAGTGCAGTGGCGTGATCTCCGCTCACTGCAAGCTCCACCTCCTGGGTTCATGCCATTCTCCTGCCTCAGCCTCCCAAGTAGCTGGGACTACAGGCGCCCGCTATCACACCCGGCTAATTTTTTTATTTTTTAAGTAAAGACAGGGTTTCACCGTGTTAGCGAGGATGGTCTCGATCTCCTGACCTCATGATCCGCCTGCCTCGGCCTCCCAAAGTGCTGGGATTACAGGCATGAGCCACCGCGCCCAGCCAATTTTTGTATTTTTAGTAGAGACGGGGTTTCACCATGTTGGCCAGGCTGGTCTCAAACTCCTGACCTTAGGTGATCCACCTACCTTGGCCGCCCAAAGTGCTAGGATTGCAGGCATGAGCCACTGTGCCTGGCCCAATGGTGTAGTCTTATCTGGCCCAATCTCTCCCAATTACTGGGGGTAGGTAGGATCCAAGTGCATGAAATGAGGTACTGGCGTTGTTGCCTTCACCATGGAAACATCCCAAAAGCACACATTAAAGGGTAACATAAGGCCAGGCGTGGTGGCTCACACCTGTAATCCCAGCACTTTGGGAGGCCCAGGCGGGCGGATCACAAGGTCAGGAGTTTGAGTCCAACCTGGCCAACACAATGAAACCCCGTCTCTACTAAAAATACAAAAATTAGCCGGGGGTGGTGGCAGGCGCCTGTAATCCCAGCTACCCGGGAGGCTGAGGCAGGAGAATCACTTGAACCCGGGAGGCGGAGGTTGTGGTGAGCCGAGATGGCGCCACTGCACTCCAGCCTGGGCAACAAGAACGAAACTCTGTCTCAAAAAATAAAATAAAATAAAATAAATATATAAATAAAAGTACAACATGGTGAAATGGGGACACTACAAGGTTTCGTTGAATAGCCTGGGCTTGTCAGAGGAACTATAAAATGGGTATCATAATAATCATCCCTATTTCTCAAACTTATTGTGAGGAACAAGGTGTGATAACATCTATAAAAGACCTATTCTTTGCTCATGGAAATATGAAGAATTATGTATCTTTTGCCTTACTCTAAATTAGAATTAAATTAGGTAACTGGGCCAGGCGCAGTGGCTTAGGCCTGTAATCCCAGCACTTTGGGAGACGCAAGGTGGGCGGATCACTTGAGGTTGGGAGTTGAGGCCAGCCTGACCAACATGGAGAAACCCCGTCTCTACTAAAAATACAAAATGGGCTGGGCGTGGTGGCGCATGCCTGTAATCCCAGCTACCCGGGAGGCTGAGGCAGGAGAATTGCTTGAACCCGGGAGGCGGAGGTTGCGGTGAGCCGAGATTGTGCCACTGCACTCCAGCCTGGGCAACAAGAGTGAACTCCGTCTCAAAAAATAAAAAACAAATAAATAAATAAATTAGATAACTGGGTACTATCATTAACCTAGTGAGACTGTATCATACTTCCTTTTGTTTTGTTTTTTGAAGAAAACATGCTGATTCATAGTTTTCCCCCACAAAAACCCTGCTGCCAATACTAAACGAAAGAAATGGGGTAAACCTTGCCTGTAGCACTGGTCTATAAGCTCTCTCTCCTGGCATTTGGCTCAGAGAGTTGAATAGTAAGTAACCACTGCCACTACGCAGTGTCAAGGGACAAAAAAAAAGTCATGATGCAGGGCCACAATCACTTCTGCAATATTAAACCAAAGGTACTTGTTACCTGCTTAAAGCTGAAGTCAACTTGAATCGTCCCAAATTCAACTTTGTCACGATATACACCCGAATAGTGCTTAATGATAGATCTGAGACATTAATGAGTGGCTATGACACAACATGGGCTGTACAGGCCTTATAAACAGACAGGGTCTCTGTCACCCAGGCTGGAGTGCAGTGGCATGAAAATGGCTCACTGTAGCCTTGACCTCCTGGGCCCAACTGATCCTCCACCCGCCTCAGTTTCCCAAGTAGCTGGGACCACAGGTACACACCAGCACACCCGACTAATGAAAAATATGTTTTTCTGGCCAGGAGTGATGGTTCATGCCTGTAATCCCAGCACCTGGTGAGGCTAAGGCAGGAGGATCACTTGAGCCCAGGAGTTTGAGACCAACCTAGGCAACAAGACAAGACCCTGTCTCTACAAAAAAAAATTAGCCAGGTGTGGTGGCGCATGCCTGCAGTCCCAGCTACTTGGGAGGATGAGGTGGGAGGATTGTTTGAGCCCGGGGGAGTCAAGGCTGCAGTGAGCCTTGCACGTGATCATGCCACTGCACCCCAGCCTGGGCCACAGAGCAAGAGACCCTGTCTCAAAAAAAAGGAAAACAAAAAAACAAAACAAAACCAAAAAACCAAATTGTTTTTTGTTGTTGTTTTTGAGATGGGATCTTGCTCTGTGACCCAGGCTAGTCTTGAACTCCTGGACTAAAGTGATCCTCATTAACTTGGACTCCCAAAGTGCTGAGATTACAGGTGTGAGCCACCACGCCCAGCCGGATGTCATTTCTGAATAAAAATAATCACAGAGAAACATGAATAGAGAGAGGGCTCTTCAAATTGCTGGTCTTGACAAAGATTTGCTTCCCTTGCATTTTTCCCCTTGATGCAAAATAACTGCCTTTTATTGAACTACACCCAGTTTGACTCACAGAACTTGAAAAAATTATAACCTAGATGACTAGATGAACACAGTAATCTCCATAGACCATAGGAGATTGCAGTGGATGGCAAAAAAGCAGGAAACAAAAGCAGGAAAGGTCAGATGGAAAGCTGTACACTTACATCCTTCTCCTGGATGGTGCACTCCTTACAATAATACGCATCAGAGACCCCAGGGCCTCCACAGATCACACAGCGTCCCTGGTAAGATCCATAGTTACACTCATCACATATGCGCACCAGAGTGCAGGGACGCACATAGGAGTCACAAATCACACACTTGCCATCACCTGTAAGGAAGAGAATGGAGTCATACTCACAACAAGTTCTTCAGTCCTCTGCTATCTCCTGCCATGGGGAAATACACTAGTCTCCTTTTGACAGTGACTTTAGGACCCTCCTCTTGGCATCACGAAACTTGGTTTACCCAGTATCCATCTCAAGTCCCTCAACATATACAAAAGTTTATCAATTAACATATGTAAAGAGCCTAGAAAATCACCTCAGAGATGATAAGCCTATATAATTGGCGGCAAAGTGCTGTGTATTAGGGAGGGGTCATGCTACTCTGGCAATTTTTCCTGTTGAAAACTAGAGAGATACAGCGTTAAATGTGCAAGTGGCAGTGGGGAGACAGAGGGGCCTTTGGTTGAAGTCCAGCATTCAGTGTTCACATACTTCCAGGCACATCTACTCAAAGCCCTCTTTGTGGCACTTTTGCTGGTTCCACAGAAACTGGGAGTGGGAAGGGTGGGCTGTTGGGACGGAAGGTTCCACTCACATTTTTCACACAGTCTTCCGATGGCTGCAAGATGAAAGATGGTTAAAAAGTACAATTAGAATAAAGGTTTTGACAAACGGGAAGTACATCCTGGAGCTGGGGGTAGGGACATGAGTACGGACTGCAGTGATACCTGCGGATAGCCATTTTATCATTACAAATTTCCAAATGAACCAAACCCACAGCCCAACCACCCTTCTGAATCTCCTCCAACGTCCTGGGGCAAGCTCTGAGTTTCTGTGGACCTGGCCCAGACCCCACCCCCGATACCTGCCTGGGGCTCCCAGCACGCGCACCCCCGCCCTCTTCTCATCAGCGGCCACAAACCTGTGCGTTCCTACAACACCCCGCGCCCGAGAGGCGGGAAACGTGGCGCCAGCTGGGCAAGCCACTAAGGAAGTGATGGGAACCCCCGACCCCCCAGCTCCTAATACCACCCCTACCCAGACAGACAGGGGCAGGGCGCAGTCTCACCAACACCAGCCTGCTTGCGGCAAAAGATCAAATCAGGATGATGTTTAGCCATAGCTCCCAATTAAGCCGGCCACCGGAAGCTTCGGGAACTTCCGTCCGACCTTTATTTCCCATTGTTCCTGCCTCCACGTCGCTGTGATTGGTCCTCTAAGCTTCCGTCAGTTTACGATCCTTGCACCAGGCCCCTCTTGCTCTCGCGCGAGTTTCTGTCGCTGCTGCGTGGCCAGGTCCTGGCAGGTGCATGAAAGTCTTAAAAACACTCCCAGATTTGGATGGCAGAGATAACTAAAATTTGTTCTTGGATAAAACATATTTGTGCTTGGTATCTACTTCTGCAAGTGTCTTTAGGCAGTTCTATTTCCTCTTGCGTGTCTGTTCATTACTCTTGAGCTCCGCTCATTGCGTTCCCAGGGTTCTGGTGCCCCTAGGGAGGCCTCGCCTTCACCGTGACGCCCCACTCTTCCGGGCACGCCCCTGCCCAAAGGCTTTAAAAGGCGCCGTTTGGGACGTCACTTGCATGCGACCTCATCTTTGTCAGTGCACAAAATGGCGCCCTACAGCCTACTGGTGACTCGGCTGCAGGTGAGCGAGCTCAGGGACCTCTGGGTTCACGGGGGCGGGGTGCCTTATACTGTGCCGGCGGCTATGGGCGAGGCAGGGCGAGGCGGGCCCGACCTGGGGCCAACTTCTCGTGTACCTGTTCCGGTTGTGGGCCCGGCACCCGTGTCCGCTCCTCTGGTGCCCTAGGTCAAGGCGTCCCCGGCACAGTCAGCTTTCCTGGCCCTGTCCCCGCCTCGCAAGAAGCGTGGGCCCAAGCAGCGGCGGCCGGGTGAAGAGCGGAGGCACCTCTTTCTTCTTTTTGAGGACAGCATTCCCTGCTCCCGTGGGGTGTCTTTCCATTCCTCAAGGTGAGGACAAGGTGACTAGGGGGCGCGGTCGTTGTTGAGCCTTCTAGGCCCAGTTCCTGAGGCCTCACTTCCCATCTCTTAGCAACAGAGACATGACAGCATCTACGGTTGCCAGGCCTGGAGTCTGGAGAAGAAACTAGGACCCTGTACCACCTTTTGAGGACCCTGCGGAACATGGAATGCCCGAGGGGGGGAGGTGGTCTTCTGGGCCCCTACGTAGTAAATAATAATAATAGTCTCTCACGTTTGCACAAGATTTGAGGACTGTTTTTTAATTCTTCATAATATTATTTGATTCATGTAATCATAGGAATGAGATGATTTTTCTCATTTGATAGGTGATAAAACTGGTAGAAAGTAGGTGGAAGTTCTGGTTCTTAGAGTGTCACCGAAGTGCTGTGGCAGAAGCATGGGCCCTACCACCACTGAGTTCTTGTTTATGTCAGCCTGCCCTCACAGAACTTTCTGAACCAGGGTGCGATGATTTCTGTTTGTCAGAATGCAATACGAATATTTTGAGCTCACAGTAAGTTGCTTGTCAAATATGGGAGGATAAGGAGACTCCAGTTTGACCTTGACTCCCCCGTTAGGAGCTATCTAGAAAGCTGACCGACTGCCAGATGATTTTTTCACTTCTAACTTGACAGCCCTGGGAAGGTGTTATACTCAAAGGTTCAATGTCAAATGTGTCTTTCATTAATAAAAATAAAGCAAGCAAGCATCTGTAGACATTCTCTGTCAACCTTTCACAGTTAACTTTGTAAATCTTTTTTTGGATCCAGTGGCGCAACTTTGATAATAGAATTTTACAAGTTGTTATGCATTGTACTCTCAGGAAGCATTGTGGTACTTGAAGTTATTTTTAATCACATTGCTTAAATTTAAACCATGTGGTTTAAAATAAAATCTTTTATCTGAAAGAAAATATTTCTGATCTCAATTCTGGGCAAAGGCAAACGATTGCACCTGATTATCTCTTCACGTCTTTTTTTTTTCCTTTGAGACAGAGTCTCGCTCTGTCACCCAGGCTGGAGTGCAATGGTGCAATCTTGGCTGGCTGCAACTCTGCCTCCCAGGTTCAAGTGACTCTCCTGCCTCAGCTTCCCGAGTAGCTGGGTTACAGGCGTGTGCCACCATGCTTGACTAATTTTTGTATTTTTATAGAGACAGGGTTTCACCATGTTGACCAGGCTGCTCACAAACTACTGCCCTCAAGTAATCGGCCTGCCTCAGCCTCCCAAAGTCCTGGGATTACAGGTGTGAGCCACCCCATCTGGCCTCTTCAAGTCTTTTGATTCTCTAGGTTAATGATGTGGAAACAGTTGTTTCTTCCTGTCTCATGAGTTAAGGGAGTCAGTCAAGATTATTTGGTAAGATAAATGATTATAGAGTTCTTGAACTTGGAAGAGAAGAATAATATCACACCATTTTGAACTGAAAAGGATCTTGGAAAGTATGAGTATCAGACTGGTGTAAAAGGAGATCTGGGCTGTAGTTCATACTCTTTCCTGATCCTGTGACCTTGAGTAAGTTACTTCCTGAATCCATTGTCAATTGAGGATGATCTTCATTGAACAAATGTATATTCAGCAACTGGATGTTAGAAAGTGATGAGTAAGTAGAATGAGTTTACGACCATCATGTCGACTAACCTCTTTTGCAGGTGGAAAATTTAAGACCTTGAGAGCCTGGGTGACTTCCAGTAGCAGAGTCAGGATTAAAATCCTAGTCTCCTTATTTGTTCCTTCAGCTAAGATGAATGAACAATATTATGCGGTTTGCACACTGCCTCCCAATAACCAGGCTGTCTCAAGTAACCAACTAACATGGTTTCTCTGAGAAGCTTGTACATTTACCTCTTTTGTGCTTAGATACATTTGTGAAATGATGGTTACCACCTTAATAGTCATATATGCAGAACCCTATGGCTGTAGTCAATTCATTCCTACTTCATTCACCGTATATTTACTGAGCGCCCACTGCTTGTTCTGAATACCGTGGTAAGCAAAGACAGTCCCTGTTCTTGTGGAACTTCCACTGTATTCTAATGTACCTGACTGCAGAGGGCCTTGGAGATCTTTCTCAGCCAAATACGGTATTTTTCTTTCCTTGGCTGGACCAAAGGTGAAGGTAGATAATAGAATGATGGGTGTTACTCCCAGCACTAAGAGTACCTAGCATTTATCTTACTGTGTATGACTAATTTCACATGACTCTGCGAGATGAGTCAGGTTTATTAGCCTGATTTATAGATGAAGAAACAGAATTAGAGAGCAAACGTAGTGTTATGGTTGAGAGCATGGACTCTGGCATCAGACAACCTAGATTTGAATTCTGTAATAACTCTAATACTCATATAGCTGTGGTTTTGGATAAGTTACTCAACCTCTCCGCACCTGTTTCCTTGCCTTTAGATACAATAAAAAGAATATATCTGTTTCAATCATGTAATAGTTGCAAAGTATTTAGAACCCTTCCTGGGGTTATAAAGTAAGGGCTATATAATTGCTAAATAAATACGTGGCCAGGCACGGTGGCTCACGCCTGTAATCCCAGCACTTTGGGAGACTGAGGCAGGTGTATCACAAGGTCAGGAGCTCAAGACCAGCCTGGCCAATATGGTGAAACTCCATCTCTACTAAAAATACAAAAATTAGCCGGGCATGGTGGCTCGCGCCTGTAGTCCAAGCTACTCAGGAGGCTGAGGCAGAAGAATCCCTTGAACCCAGGAGGCGGAGGTTGCAGTAAGCTGCAATCACGCCACTGCACTCCAGCCTGGATGACAGAGCGAGACTCCGTCTCAAAACAAAATAAGGCCTAGGCCCTTATCAGTAGTTGTTAGTAGGTATGATTTGAATCTGGACATGTCTGATTCCGAAGCCTGGGGGCTTAGCAGCTGGCACTATACTGCTTCCCTTTGGCATCGAGCTCAACCTGTGGATCCATAGATGCACCATAACCTCAGAACAGTGCCAAGCTGAATGTGTACTCTTGTTTGACAGTACCTGCTACCAGATAGTAAGATTAGAAACAAGAAAATAGGATGTGGGTTTTTGTTTTGTTTTGTTTTTTAAAGAAATGGGGGTCTCACTATGTTGCCCAGGCTGGTCTCAAATTCCTGTGCTCAAGCAATCCTCCTGGCTTGGCTTCCCAAAGTGCTGAGATTACAAGTGTGAGCCAACTGCAACCAGCCAAGGAGGTGAGATTTTTGAAAAACCACATTTACTCTCTGTTTTTTAGCATTTATTTTTGTGCATATGACTGAGTAGTACACAAGAGGGGTTGAGCAGTTGAAAATATGTTTATTAGGTGTTTGGTTTTTCCTTGAGATAACTGGGGTTTTGAGGTTTCATGTGACCTTGGGGGAAGTCATGTAACCTCTTGCATGTAAATTTGTGATGGCAGTTACCTACAAAAATATTTGGCAGAAATTCTCTGTGCCATCTTAAAATCAAATCTTGGTTTGAATTGTGAAATAGATGATTCTGGTTGTATGGTCACTGTGATAACCTTCCCAGATATCAGTTGTTACTAGAATTGAGTGAATGAATGAATTGTTTTTTTTTTTTTTTTTGAGACGGAGTCTGGCTCTGTCACCCAGGCTGGAGTGCAGTGGCGCGATCTCGGCTCACTGCAAGCTCCGCCTCCCGGGTTTACGCCATTCTCCTGCCTCAGCCTCCCGAGTAGCTGGGACTACAGGCGCCCGCCACCTCGCCCGGCTAGTTTTTTGTATTTTTTAGTAGAGACGGGGTTTCACCATGTTAGCCAGGATGGTCTCGATCTCCTGACCTCGTGATCCGCCCGTCTCGGCCTCCCAAAGTGCTGGGATTACAGGCTTGAGCCACCGCGCCCGGCGAATGAATTGTTAAATAAGCTTCCATCTTAGATATGGACAGAGGGAACAGGGACACCATCCTGAGGATTAAGGGAGCACATCATTGCCTTTCAAACCAATTGCTTCACAATGTTCTTTGAACGCTTTGGCCGGGCTGGGTGGCTTACGCCTGTATTCCCAGCACATTGGGAGGCCGAGGCGGGTGCATCACCTGAGATCAGAAATTCAAGACCAGCCTGGCCAACATGGTGAAACCCAATCACTAATAAAAACACAAAATAAGCTGGGTGTGGTGGCACATACCTGTAATCCCAGCCACTCAGGAGGCTGAGGCAGAAGAATCACTTGAACCCAGGAGGCGGAGGTGGCAGTGAACCGAGATCGCGCCATTACACTGCAGCCTGGGCAACAAGAATGAAACTCTGTCTCAAGAAAAAAAAAAGAAAAAGCTTAATGTCTCAAGAAGAAAAAAGAAAAAGCTTAATGTCTAACACTGCCTAGTGTTGTTCTAGACACTGGGGATGCAGTAGTCAACAAGAATAGTGGGGCTTAAATTGTAGTCCTGGGGAAAATAAGTAGAAAAATAAGAATATTGTATTACTGAGTGTTGTGGGAAAGATAAAGTAGAGAGAATGGGGTGGGAACATGGCATTTTTAACTGGGATATTTGGGGAAGACCTCGTAGAAGAGGTGACATCTGAACTGAGACTTAGATGATACTAACGCAGCTGTTCAGCATTTTTGGAGGAGACTTCAAATAGAAGGAGCATGTGCAGAGCACCCATCTAGGTGTGAGCTGAGTGTGTTGAGGATAAGAGCTAAGGCTAGTGTTGCTACAGTGTCCTGAGGAGCAAAAGGTCTGACCAAGAGGCTGGGGCTAGGGTCAGGCAGGCTTCGGTAAGGAAATCCAAGTGTAGTGAAAATCCACTGGAAGATTTTAAGCCAGGGAGTGACATGATCTGATCATCCGGGCTGCTGCGTGCATGATGAACCATAGAGGGTCAAAAGGAGGAGGCAGGGAGAACAGTGTGGGACTGTTGGAGTCATCCCAGGAATGGCAGAGGTGTCTGGGACTAGGGTCTGGGGGTGGAGATAATGAGATGTATTCTAAATTGGGATATATTCAGAGGCAGATGGGTTGGCACATGGGAGGGATAGAGAATAAGGG